GATTGCTTAAGACGTTAGATTTGGGATGTCCTTCGGACTTTCAGGTAGTTCTGTAAAATCATCAGTTCTTTTCCAAGTGTTATTTTGATCTTGGATGAATCATATTTTAACATCTACTTGGCTGGTCAATGCTATTTTACTATTCTGAGTAAGTCGTTACCTATGAAATTCAGAAGATAATGTCCAAGGTCATCAGGTTCCACATTAGTTCAAAGTCCATTATAGTTCGTGGTACATAACTTCTTTCAATGAATTAATCGTTATGTAAGGTATTGGTTGAAAGAAAAAAGCTAGTGTCAAGAGCGGGATTTGAACCCACGATCTTCTGCTAAATAGGCCGCTCTTTACCACTTGAGCTGTCCTGACTTCGTCGAAGTCTTGAAGTCACGAAATAAATCCCGCTCTTGACCATAGCTTTTTTATTTCAACCAATACCTTAGATAAATATTAATTAATTGAAATTAGTTCAAAGAAGACTCTTCCTTAAGGAAAAGTTGCTTATTTCCAAAAAAAAAGAGATAAAGAACGAGAGTTGAAGGAGGCACAGAACGGAAAGACGGAAAAGATGTGTGGATAATGAGCCACAGAGTGCACAGAAAACGAAAAAAGGGGAGGGAAAGAGAGAGAGAGAGAGAAAATGAATAATCGATAATGAGATAGTTGAATATATAAAGAGAGAGAAGGTAAACGAAAGGCAAAGAAAATTGAAGATAGGAAAGAAGAGATAATACATCTACATACAGAGAAAGAAAAAGAGAGTGAGAGAGAGAGAAAGAGAGAGAGAAAAAAGGTGTTATATATACAACGAGAAGAGAAGGGACATCAATAAGTACATAGTCGAATTTTTGGCTGAACTACAAGAGAAAATCCATCTTTTCAGGTAGCAAAGACATAAGCATTATTTAGTTTAAAAAATATATTTGACATTTAAACCTGCAGAGTTATAAGTTTGTGTAATCCACGGTGTAAAATTGTGGACTGCTGTTTTGAGATCTCTGGTGGTGGACTCTTTCAGACGTCCAGAAGGGTCTTGTCAGTTTATTTTCTGCCATACTTGGATCATGATTTGCATAGTAGTTTCTTGTGCTCTCGTTGATGTTTAATTAAACGCGGTTTATCTATGAGAAAAAAACGCGTAAGGTCATCAGGTTCTATTTTTGTGCAATGGTTCGAAGGAGTTGGCGTAGATTTCTGCAAGAAAAAGTTGTTGATAATCTAAAAGGACGATATATATATNTTTGGGTATATACCAGCACCGCTTCCCTTGTCCTTAATGAGTGAGCCATCGGTGAAGCAATCTATGCTATTATGGTCATCATCCACATTATAGTTATAATCACATGGAGTACTACCTGAAAGTGTTTTTTCCCCAAAGGTGTTTTAACCTTTTTGTCGCTGGCACTTATTAGTTGGTTATTAACCTTACTCAGTAAATGTAGAATTTTCGAGTGTCCTATATTGTTTCCCTTATGATTTCACTAATTAATCTATAGCAGCTGGTTAGTGCTCTAACCTTGACCTCTATGTGTAGAGGTGTAGTATTGGTTATCATTTCTAGTGCTAGGGTAGGTGTAGTGGGAAATGCTCCCGTCATCATCATACAACCTAGTCTTTGAAATGATCTTAGCTTGTTAATAGCCCCTTTATTTTCTAGCCCTTTCCACCATACTAGGGCTGCAAATAGAAATCTTGGTAGTATAATTGCGGTATATATCCATTTGGCCGCCCAAGGTTTGATTGATACCCCATGTTCTACCAATAATTCTCCAAAAGGACGATAAAACAAACGCTTACAGTAAATTGACAAGTTCTACAATATTTTGTCTTCAAGGGAGAAGATAAGTCACATCAGAATGGGCGAACTATCAAATTTTGGCTGAACTACAAGCTAACAGTAATATTTTTCGTCATCCAGGGTAAAAACATTAGTTGAGTTAAATCTACTATTTTTTATTTAAGACTGCAGTGTTACAAGTAAATATAATCCAAAATGTAAACCAGAGAGTTTTGGATTGCTGAGACTTGAGACGTTGGGTGTTGTTGGAATGTCCTTCAGACGTCCAAAACGGTCTCGCCATTACTTTGTAAATTGATCAGTTTGATTTCATTGTCATGCTTAATCTAAGTTGTTTAGCCCTTTTCTTGCTTTCTTGTCTTTTCAGTTCAAAGTGTAAGGAGAATGGCCAGAACAATTTTCCAATTTGGGTTGAACTTCGAGAAAACAGTCTTCTTTTCGGGTAGCCAAGATAAAAGCATTATTGAGTTTAACCGACTTTTTTATTGCTATTTAAAACCGTATAAAACGGAGTATTTTGGGATTGTAAGGTCTTGAGACGATGGATTTTGGAATGTCATTCCATTCCAGACGTCCACAACCTCTTACCATTATTTTGTACATTTATCAGTTTGGGTTTCCTTAAGCTTTCTTAACAAGGTTTATGTCACATTAAACCACTTTTCTAAATTATTTGAGAACCAGCATTTACAAAAAGTTAATCTATATTTGGTAAACCTCCACTTCATACCTTAATCCAAGAAGAAGCCAGAGCAGCAGCCCCCAGGCTTATACATGGACGACCATCTGCAAGGATAGGCCGAGTAAATAAACAATGGAAATTGATAGAGGAGATACAGGCTGATGCCTTATTAGACATGCCAATCGATGCCACTACTCGGAAAGAATGGGCCGAAGGAACACCGCCAAACTCCTACTGGTATACTGACCAAAACCGACAAGGGTACGGGAGCTGGAGTTTAAGAGAACCCAAAGACCGAGCTGACAGTATACCTAGGTAACAGCGATTAAACACTGCGTCAGGGAAATAAAAAGGCTAGGAATACATTCTCGGAAAATAGCCATCTTCTCTGACAGTCAGGCAGCAATGTCTAGCCATATACGAGGTAAAGGCAAAGAGCGTTGGGAACTGCATGGAGGCCCTGACGGAAGTCAGTGACTCTAATGACCTGAGCCTGGCATGGATCCTTGGGCATTCGGGGCATAGAGACAACGTAAAAGTTGACATGTTGGCCGAAAAGGGAGCCAACATGAACTCTCTAGGTCCTGAACCCTACCGTGGTTTAGTATCTTGCTATACAAGAAGATACATCTTAAAATGGATCCTTTATGAGTCCAAAAGCTTGTGATGCAATACCACAGGCATGAGGCCCGCGATAGATTCATAGAACGACCATCCGCAAAACTTACAAAGAATTGGAAGGTAACCGCAACCGAACCAGGATTCTGGTGTGACCCCTGGACCCAAATACTCGGTCGTCCTTAAAAGGACAATGAGGTAACGCCCGTACCTGGCTCTTGGCCTTACCGGACGTTTTGATTCTCAAGATGAGAGATGACACACCTCCGCTCACGACTGAACGTGTTAAAGCCGCAAGCGTTGATGTAGAAGCTGTTCCAGCCCCGAGGGGCCAAGACGAACCTCACTCCCCCGCTTGCCCATTCCGAGTGGTCGGGTCTGCATTAAGCATCTGACCGTATGCCGCGCGTACTCAAAGTGGCTGAAATGCATCAGCCTCCCACGCACTCCCTAGATAGAGAAGGCCACTCTATCTCCAAGAGTATTGGGGCTCCTCCAGCATAAGAACTTCCGCATCCGCTCCGGCCGCGGTTTTGTTTAAAGTGGAATTTCTAACCACCCCCTGGAGGAGACTGCCTTCGGTAAAGGAAGCCCATGCAGGCACCACCGACCACTATCCGTTCCCATCCGCCACTTCTCACGCATTCGAGGGACTCCGTCAGCGTAGTCTGAGCTTCCTCAACGCTATACACTTCGATGGTCCGATCCTTCGTCTCCAGTGAGGCCGGGGTTGCAACAAAGGTTGCACAGGCGTAGGTGGATTCGACCACCTCCTGACTAAGCACTCCACTTAAGAAAGCACATGCCCCAGATGGAAGTACAGACAGAAGAAATGTTGTGCTGATACTGCCAGGAAGAGGAGGAGACCGCAAAACACATTTTATGTTAAGGTCTATGTAGGTGCAAGCTTTGTAACAAGGACAGGAAAAACCTCAAGAAAGATCTCATACTAAGGAGTCGCTGGCAAGGTTATGGAGGTTGATTAACAACCTGAAGCTGGCCAGTAAGTTATAAAAAACAGGGGAGCAGAATAGATCTACTCAGATCGTGGCGCAGAAGGCCTTGTGGCCGACTCTTTTATGCCTATCCCTATCCCTAATCTACATACTCATCCCATCTATTTCTATTAAACTACTGGTGTTGTTAAAAAGCCATGGATGGAGATAGATACATACAGGGCGGATGCTAGATCGTCAATTTTGAATACAGCCAATATAAAAGAAATGTATTTTGAATAAGTATATAGTCATCGAAAGAAGAGAGTGCAGTGCAGCAAGGATGTTTTAAACACTGCTTGTTGATACTTAGCAGAATTTGTCACAGAATCCAGGTCCAGGTAAGAGGCTTATGGAAGTATGTTCTTGAGTCAAAGAATTGAATGAGTGGACTGCAATGATCCAAACTTATGATGTAGAATCTTACAACTATTTTCATCAATAAGTTTTATGAGGAGAATTTTGGCCATAGGCATATTTTGGTCTATGTATCATATTTAATCACCTGTTTGAAATTTAGTGCTTTTATAGATGTTAATTGTTTAATTTGCAGAGTTTTACATAGAGTGAAGATTTTCTTAGGCAAACTCGTTACACGTGCGGTTAACATGGCGGTTTATTTATTTAAACGAGGAAGAAGCCAGTGCAACACGACTTACATCCGGACATTTAAAAGCCAGCCTTGAATGTGAATTTTAAACAATACCAAGGAGAATAAATGCAAACATATACAAACATGTCAAATATAAACCCAATATGAACTTCAAACACTAGTACCTCATGTATGTTATTAATAGCTCAGTGGCCTCAACGGACCGATTTGTCAGAAGTTTTTCTGGGTTCATAGAACCGTCACATAAAGAACGATTGCACATGTGGTATTTCTAGCAGAAAGGCGTATTCAACTCACCTAAATTGCTTTCGTGGTCCCTCGTCGTTGACACTGTCGTCACAGTCTCCCTCATCCTGCTCATACTGAAACAGAGTGATCGGTTGTTTTAATTAATGGAAGCGAAGAGTTAGTTTTCAGCTTTTGAAAACGGCTAAAGCAAGCATTATGCAAATTTTCAGGGTATTGTTTTGAATAATGAATTCCAAATAAGGTAAACGAGTTCCAACGAATTTGGACAACTATTGTCCTTCCTTTCTCGACCCTGATTAGTCGTTACAGCAGATTTTATAATCAATCCTAAATATAATCTTCTTCTACTTTCTTTCTCTCATTTTATTCTTAATAATTCATTTCTGATAAGTCTATGCATTTATAAAATTGCAGCTAAATTTTATTCATGTCTAGTAAGATCTGCCTGTTTAGGAAACTATCATTTTCCTATCTAATTCTCTACATCAGCCTTGCCAGCATAAGGTAAAATATACATAGAATACATAGAAAATATGATAAACACAAAATACTTTACTTATAAAAAAAATGAACATTTAAAAACAAGAATAATTTTTTTTATCTAAAATTTTCTCGCATTTTATAAATGCATTTTTTAATCTAAAATTGTAGGTTTTTACCTTAGCAATAATTATGAATAAATAAAACAAATTGGTTTTATTTTTTGCTACTCATAAGAAAGTCAAAAAGCGTTAAAGATATATTTTGGAGAGAAAAGATATATGAAAATGACCAAACTATTGATATTCCGTATACTTCCGAAGCTATAAAATCTAACCTCACTATTTAAAAAAAAATACTAGCAGCAATCGGATTCTTTTTTTGAAAACACCATTCGATGCAGAAAAGCTTAAAAAATATTTTAAGCATAAGAAAGATGTATGTGGTGTTTAATGACCGGGAGATGCAATCGGTGTGACGTAGGTTTTAGAAAAATATTTTCTTTATCATGCCAACGTTTCGATCTTTATTGAGATCATCATCAGGGCCTGGGATTTATAAACATTGTTTAAATTTTACAAATACATGTAGTATGTGGAAAAATGAATTTTTACANTTCATTTTTTTAATCTAAAATTTTCTAGCATTGTATAAATTCATTCTTTTTTTTAATCCAAAATTTTCTAGCATTGTATAAATGCATTTTTTAATGTAAAATTTTCTAGCATTGTATAAATGCATTTTTTTAATCTAAAATTTTCTAGCATTGTATAAACGCATTTTTTTAATCTAAAATTTTCTAGAATCGTATAAATTCATTTTTTAATTTAAAATTTTCTAGCGTTGTATAAATTCATTTTTTTAATCTAAAATTTTCTAGCATTGTATAAATGCCTTTTTTTAATCTAAAATTTTCTAGCATTGTATTAATTCATTCTTTTTTTAAATCTAAAATATTCTAGCATTGTATAAATTCATTTTTTTTATTTAAAATTTTCTAGCATTGTATAAACCAATTTTTTTTTAATTTAAAATTTTCTATCATTGTATAAATTCATTTTTTAAATCTAAAACTTTCTAACATTGTATAAATTCATATTTTTTCCACATCCTATATGTATTTGTAAAATTAAAAATATGTTTATAAATCGCAGGCCCTGAAGATGATCTCAATAAAGATCGAAACGTTGGCACAATAAAGAAAATGTTTTTCTAAAACCTATGTCACACCAGACCGCATATCACGATCTCCAAATAACAAATATTTAATATTTAATCACCGTTACCACTAACCATTATTTCAGCTAGATATATTTGTTGGGCTATTACCTAATTAAATATTTATAGGTCCATTTAAAATAGTCAAATGTGTATATATCGTAAAGAGTGAAACACATTGCTCTACTGTTTATTTTTGATCTGATTTGATTTTTCTCGTGTTAAAATCTGGCTTATTCATATCCGCGACCCTTGGTAATTTAACCTACATAAGATACAGGCTACGATCTAAAAATAAGCTCATGAATCATGCTCCAAGCTGTCACGTGAGAACTGCTTAGGGACTTATATCAACAATTTTTTTTTTGCCATGCGTGTGTAATAAAATTAATTTTAAAAAATTGCGTAATTTTGTAAATTCATAAAGTGGCCGGTGTGTTTTTTCAATAGTGTATATTTCGATTTGAATAGTGCATGGAGAAAAAAAATCTGTACAGAGTCACGAATTTTTGTCTTTTTGGCGACTGATAAACAGCGAGGATAAGCGGACCCAAGATCTCCCAAATAAACCTAAAAAATAAACTAAAATACATAGAAATATATTGTTAATTTAGATTGTAAATTTTATTAGTGTTTTGAACAACTATGACAAAAAAATCAATTGCAAAAAAACTTTTGTTCAATTCGTATGTAAAATTTGCATAAAAAAGAAATGATCTATCATTGGACCTTCTGGTCGTGTTTTATGGCATTTCGAGAAAAAACGTTTTCAAACCTAAACACCTTGGGTTATCCTCGAAGAAATGGGTCCACCCATAGGTCGTCCGCAAGAATACCAAATAGGGATATGACCTCTGCGATTCTACGAGTTCCATTGCGACATCGCCAGGCCGATTTCTCTCTAATGTCAATCGCTGGTTAGCAGAATCTTCCAAATAATTAATTAACACGTTATTACAAAAACCATACCCGTACTAAGCAAAAACTGTTGAATTTTTGGGGACAAAAAGGCTTTTGTTAATACAAAACCCAGCGGTGATTGTTGCAGTCCTTCACACTATCTTTTGCAATGCAAATTTCCTTCGATTTGCATATTTTCTAAATGCCTTTTAAATTTATTTATGTTTCATTTCATAAATGATAAATCGAGTTTATTAAATAACAAACTAACCTGTACATAAAAATATAACTGGGTACGTATTTACTGACTATATTTCTCCAAGATAACCTGAACAAATTTGAACATTTTAGCGATAAAGTCGTCCAAAATCTGGCTAGGTCTCACCAAATTTAATTGATTACACAAAGAAATATTAAAGAAAATCAGTATTTTTTTCGTTCTCATAAAATAAGAAAAAAACAAAGTGAAACAAACGTTTTTGTTTGAGCAACTTTTAAATCGATACCAGAGATTTTATACACTCGGCCCAGATATTTTGAGAAAAAAATGCAAAGCTTGAAAAAAAAAATCAACATATATGTACAAGGGAGATTCATTAAATATCAACATATTTTAAAAACCATCAGTTTCGGTGAAGCAACTCATCAATTAACGGACATTTTTAAGGTTACAAATGTCTACCCAGAACATTTTTGTGAAATTGTTAAAGCTGGGTATCAAGATACAGAAGTTTAATATAATAAAGCTAATAATAAAGCTTCATAAAATTTGATCTATCAAGATATAAAAACCATGTGTTTTGTGGAACTTCTTAGTAAATTAATGATCGTTTTGATCTGAGAAGGACTGATTTTACTTCAGATTTTTTTTACTCGTTTTGAATCACTATAAAAATGACAATCAATTTTAATGATTATTAAATTCACTAATTTTGGTGGTTCGCTTGACCAATTAATATCGTTAAATTAATTAAGGTTTTTAGTTGAGATAAAAAAGTCAGTGTTACGGGCGGGATTCGAACCCACGATGTTCGGCTTGATACGCTGCTGCACTACCACTTGAGCTATCGTAACTTGGATCCACTGGGACACTAACTTCCCATCTCAAACCCACCTTTTGAATTTTTCCTCCTTTTTGCCATTTTTCATATTGCCATTGTCATTTTTCGTGACACTGACTTTTTTTTATCTCAACTAAAAAACCTTAATTAATTGTAAGATATTAATTGGTCAAGCGGACCACGAAAACTACTTAATTTAATAAGTTAATGTATGAAGTATACATTCACTAAAGCTCTCCTTGGCTATTCAATTTATCTCCGAGAATCAAATAGATTACACGATATTTTAAAAATGGCAAAAAGGAGGGAAAATTCAAAAGGTGGGGTTGAGATGAGAAGTTAGTGTCCGAGTGGATCGAGGTCACGATAGCTCAAGTGGTAGAGCAGCGGCGTATCTAGCCGAACATCGTGGGTTCGAATCCCGCTCGTGACACTGACTTTTTATCTCAACTAAAAACCTTATTTAATAATTATGCTAAGCCTAGTCGAAAACTTTCTAGTCACGATTCTATTTGATTTCTATCCAGAAAATTTTTGACAAATTTGTAAAGCTAGGTCTCAAGAAACAGGATAATAACACGATATATTAAGTTTCATACAAATTCATTTATTAATCATTAAGATAGTAAAAACAACGTGTTTTCGTTGAAATGTTTCATAAAAATGGCCATTTGATTTTAGAGGCGGCAAATTTTTGACACAGTTTTTAAGCAACATGTAAGACAAAATTTTTTAATAATTAACCTTATTCTCGTCATTGTTGACTGGGTCATTTGTCGTATAAAAAACAATGATCTCTGGTTAAGTACCTCACAAATTAATGCAAATTTTGGCTTCAGGGGATAGGGGTGGATGTTTTCAAAAACATTTTTGACAGATTTGTAATGCTAGATCTTAAAACACCGAAGTATCAATAATCATATTAAGCAACTTAAAATTTGATCTATTAATTATCAAGATATTTAAAACAATTTTTTCTCGTGGGACTTCTTCATAAATTAATGGACATTTTGACTTACGGGAGGCAAAATGTTATCTAGAACATTTTTGACCCTTTTTTTCAGCCACATGAAAAACAATAAATGTTATTAAGTTACGTTTCAACTACTTGAAGCTAGATCTCAAGACAGAAGTTAAAAAATGGTAGTGTAAAATTTTATTTCTTAATCGTCAAGATATTAAATACATTGTATTTTGGCGGAATTTTTTCATAAATTAATGAACGTTTTGACGTCAAGACGAACGATTTCGCTTAAAACTTTTTTTGGACTCATTTTGTGTTGCTATAAGAACGACATCCAATTTTAACAAATAATTATGCTAAATATAGTCGAAAACTGTAAAGTAATTATCAACGTATTAGAACAATGAGCGCAAGTGAAGCAACTCATAAATTAATGCGCGTAATTAACGCAGGCTGAAGATTTTTGATAAATTGTTAAAGACAGATTTTT